AGGCGCCCTCTTTTTTTAGTATATAAGCCTGGCGAGAAAAATCAGCGCAATTGCATAGATAGATAGATATGGAGATAGATAATTGAGTCAAACGAACAGTAGGCACCGTAAGTAAGGTGTGTGAATCACTGTGATTTATAGCGTGTGTTCTAAAAGTTGAGCGTATTACAAAGTTTGTATCGAAAAAGAATAAATTAGTTTTAATTAAGAAAGGACTTGTATCGCTAAAGTCCCTAGGAAACAATTTATACCGGAAATTAACAAACAAGCAGATACGCAACAATATAAAACTGTTACAACATAAGACAAATAAAAATACCGACAAACCATTAAAGAACAAACTCTGCTGCAACAAATCAAATCTTAGTGTTGCAACAATGTAAAATAAAGACAACTATAATAAACACAAAATGTTACAACAATGTAGAATAAAGACAACTATAATAAACACAATGTAATGTTACAACAATATAAGAAAAAGACTGGTACAACCAAATATTATTGTTACAACAATGTAGAATAAAGACAACTATAATAAACACAATGTAATGTTACAACAATATAAGATAAAGACTGGTACAACCAACCAAATATTATTGTTTCAACGATGTAAAACAAGGATTGTGTCAAAAAATCCCCTTTCTTTTTTTACCATTGATGATTCAATTAACTATACATTTAATATGAAACTCTACAGTTAAAATCAATCTTCGTCTCTGCAAAGTCCTTAGATATCTCCGCTTATAAAGGATTCAGTTATTTTTAAAAATAGAAATTAATAAAGTCCACAGAGTTGGTATCTATTTTTCCTCCAACCTTACTTCTCGAGACACATATACTTTAACAACACTCCTACATTATTATATGTGAATACGTCTGAGATGTTTGTTGAATTTCTTCTTTCATTGGCTGCTGGTGTATTTCAAACCATCTGTTTTGTTTATACCAAGAAGCAACACCAGTAAGACATCAAAACAACAAATAAATTAATTGAGCTTACAGAAATGTTCAAAAATAGATTAAACTTACAAGTCAGACGTAATGAAACTTGTATTAATATATTAAGGTAAATAAAAATTCTGAAAGCAGAGACAAGTGTAAACCATAAATAACCTCACCAAGTGTAGATAAAACTAGCCGAGTGTCTACCAAGTGTAAATAAAACTAGCAGAGAGTCTTCCAAGTGTAGATAATAGATAAAACTAGCCGAGTGTCTACCAAGTGTAGATAAAACTAGCAGAGAGTCTTCCAAGTGTGGATAATAGATAAAACTAGCTGAGAGTCTTCCAAGTGTAGATAAAACTAGCAGAGAGTCTTTCAAGTGTAGATAAAACTAGCAGAGTGCCTACCAAGTG